GCAGGGTGCAGAGCTCCAGCCTGCCTCTACCCTGCAGGAGGCATGTGCCCCCTATGCCTCCCTAGGGGTGTGTACTGCTGCTACTGTTTTATGTGCCACACCCCTCCCCCACACCTCTGGATGTTCTGCCCCAGCCCCAGGGCCCCATTCACCCCTGCCCCACTCCCTCACTGCAGGGGCCTCAATCTGCACTCTGCCACCTCTTCCCCCACTGCCCTTTTCCTTCCACTTACCAGCTGGGTGTTGTCTGTCTGTGTGTCTGTCTGCTTTCATAGACATTAAGGCTGGAAGGGACTTCACAAGATCATCAGGTCCAGCTCCTCACTCCCAAGCCAAAGCCCACCAGCCCTGCTGCTACTTCTCACTCCTGACTCACAGTACCCTGCATCCTGCCAGGGTGTGTGGGGGCCCTCCCTCCCTGGGTTCCAAGCCCCACACCCACAGCTCCCCACACCTTCACAAATAACCCCTCTCCACACACACACACACACACACACACACACACTTCAAAAATAGCATCTCATGTTTTACGTGCCAATTGCTTGATTTTGTAAGAGTTCATCTCATGATTTTTGGCATGGTGGGGCTGGCAATACTGGAAATATCACTCTCCAACAAGAGCTGCCTTAATGGAGCTTTTTAGTATTAAACTCTTGATAACAGAGTAGAAATCCACACTCCTTTAGTGATTTTTCTAGCATAGAAGTTACACCAAGCAATGTATAGAATCAACATACAATTTTACTTTAGTCAAAAAAAGATTCCTAGCGTCCTGTTTAGGTCTTTCAAGATTAAATTGATCCCCTCCCCCATGGCTGTGGGGCTTAAAATTTCCAGTCTTAGTCTTACCTTGGTGTCAGGGGGCTCAAAGCTGCTGGTCCTCCCAGTAAGCTCCGACCAGTTTTTGGTTTATTTTGAGCCTGTTTAGACAATATGGCAGTTCCTGATCCAAGAGGGACGGCATCTGGTGAAATTACAGCTGAGTCAATGTAAGACATAGAGGAATCTGTGTTCAAGGAAGAGTATTTTGAATTGGAGGATTCCAGGTTGAGTCTGTTTAATTCCTGAAATTAAAAGCAGATTTTAGAATAGCCACATGTCAATATTTCCTGATCAGTATAATTCATTTAACACTGGAGACTGCTCCAAAACAAAGGATTTGACAAAACGTACAATTGTGTCTTGTGGCGTCTCCATAAGGACAGTGTCAGGCTGTCTGTGGGATATGTTGTGGTTAGACACCAATGTTGTGCAAGTGTTGGGCAGGCAGCTGCTGAAGTTCTGTAAAGATGTTAATTTAAATGTCTGGTCAGGGTCTGGTTTTTCACCTGCAAGATTGAAGAGAAATTTAAAAACAATTATTTTTGACCACATACACTTGGTGCTTGTTAAAAAGGAAGAAGGGACATATTTTAAAAGAATAAGTAATTTTAAAAGCAAGTACAGTATTAAAAGAAAAACCACACACTCCTCTCTCTATTACATAAGGGAACCAGAGGGGTTTTTTGGCTTTCAGCCTTAAAGTGTTACCACTCTTTAGAGCATTTATATATTTTGGAAGTCAGAGTACAAAAAAGTGCTCCTAGAAATCCAGGCACAAATGTTGTTTTTCTTAAGGAAAAAAAGGGATATAAAACAGGTCTATCAGTTGGGTTTTATTAAGTTCTTAGACAAAAATCACAGTTGATCAGCGAACCACTGCAAATTTTAAACATAACCTAGACACAGGTCTTAGAGTACAGTAGAGAGTCAATTATTCAGAAAGTCAATTAATCAGATAATTCTGGATTAATGAAACCCCTGAGCCCGAAGCCTGCCAGCAAGACAACTGTGCACTGTTTTTTCATTAGTGCTTAGTGATGTAAAAATTTACACAGTACTATACATTTATGCTTTTAAAAAAGATTCAATGCACAGTGTAGTAATTAAAATGGACTTTCCAACACTTCATACAGTGGTGTTTCATTATCTGGAAAAAACATTATTCAAAATGGTGATGATATATTATTCAAGATTAAATGTACTACAGTATATTGAATTAAAATGTATGCAAAAGACTATTGATGCAACAGTGTTAGCGATACGTGAGCTTTTCTATCAAGTTCTGTAGCATTTTTACTCATTAAAAGGCAGAACAACAGTTTTTTCCTACTGCAACGAGTTACCTGATATTCTCAAAATAAAGCTCACTTATACAAAGAAAGAGTCTTAGGAAACAAACGTTCCCAAAATTAAAAAGTCTACTTAGATACACTTTGCTCCTGAAGCACAAGTGAAGGAAATAAGAATTTTGTGTTCTTGTGTTCTCAGCCTTTTACATGAGAAAATGCCAACTCCAACTGGCCAACTCTTCCATTCCCCACATACAACCCCCAAAAATCTTTTCACAACAGAAGAATTTTGCATACCTACCAATTTCACATAGTGATTCAAAGGGGGACCAGAGGAAAGGATTTAAACTAAGGCTCTTTTGGTAACATTCTGATCCTTTGGCAAGCCTGTCTGTCTTGCTGTAAGAAAGAATACAAAATAGTTTAAGAAAAAGATAAAACATTTAAGTTTAGGATAATTTTCATGAAGAGTAAAAGGCGGCAAAAACAAGAACATCTTTAGAACTTCAGTAAACCCTTTAACTTTTGTTAAACCACAAGGACGGTTAATCTGAAAACAAATCTATTATTAGTATATTTATTTTTATGAGGTGCACCGATACATTGGTCCATATCATATCTGCACTGATAAAAGTAAAATTTACATTATTAACAATCAGCTTTGAGTGGTTGATATGGCTGATAAATGTCTTGTGCGTGCCCATAGCCGCAGCATGCTTGTGGCTGGGAATGCAGCCCGGCAACTTGGAGAGCAGCATTTGGCCAGTAAGTCTGTGGAGGGGAGGGCAGGTGCTGCCCCACTGGGGCAGGACATGGGAGAGCCATGAGTGGCTTGTCTGGGGTGCAGCATGGGGGGGGGGCCCTCCCACCACTGTGTGCACCCCGGGGGAGGCATGGGGGGCACATGCCCCATGGATCTGTGCACAGGGTGAGGGCAGGCTGCTGCTGCCCACTCAGGGCTGGGGGCAGCGCTAGGCTCTACCTGGTGGGGGGTGCTGGGTCAGGGCTGTGCTCAGGATGGGCAGCAGTGGCACTGGGAAGTGGGGTTATGAGGGGTGGGGGCTATAGCCACCCCAAAATTCACCGTAGCCCCTCTCTCAGTGCCAGCACCACCCACCCCATGTGCAGCCCCAGCCCAGTCCTTCCTTGCCAGGAAGAGTCTGGCGCCACCCTCAAACCCGAGTGGGCAGCCCACACTCGCCCCACACAGACCTGGGGGTCATGTGTCTCCCTGCCTTCCCCATGGTGCATGCAGCGGTAGGAGCCACTCCCCCCACGCTCCCCGGACAAGTCGCTTGTAGCTCCGTTGCATTCCCCGCCCTGGCTGTGCAGTGCCTGTCCCTTCTCCAGCCCTTGCCCCAGTCCCACTCTCTCCCTCACCATGAGAGGCCTTGATCTCGTGCAGGGCAGTAACAGTGGGAGGCTGAGGCCCAGGGCAGAGCCATGACCCGCTTCAGTTCTGTGGGCAGGGACATACAGGGAGTAGATTGTGGCTCTGCCCTGAGCCCTGGCCCCATGCTATCACCGCTCTGATCCTGGCCCCTGCCTGCCTGTGGTCCCGTCCCATCCACCTGGCCGAGCGCACCCTGCCCGTGGAGGTTATGGGACAGTCTCCATGGAGACCCTGCCAGACCACCCAGTGCCCTTGGCAGTGGGTGCAGGATGGATGGCCTGGGGCTGAACGGGACCAGTTGTACCCAGCTCCCTCCACTGCCAGGCCCAGTCAACACCCCAGCCCACAACAGTTCACCAAAACTAAAGTGGCCCTTGTGAAGAAATCCTCATCTTTCAGCCCCTTACTTAGGCCAAATCAGGTGACCCCTTTATCTCCTGGTTTTCTTCTTGGTTCAGGCTGGTCAATCAGGTGACCTGGCCAGATAAATTCCTAGGGGGAGGGAGGAGCGCCCTCTTCCTTTGGCAGGCATTTTGAAAATCAAGCAAAGACCTCAGGCTGCTGCCTGAAGATTTTCTGTAAGTAAAACCTGGAAACTAGCCTGGAGTTCGGAATTATGTGTAGGTCAGTCGCGTCTTAAAAGGATCATTGCATCCAATTTCTGTAAAGATTCATGTGCTTATGTTTGCTCAAAGTGACTTTCTCATACTACTTCGCTCCCCCTAATCAATAAAGGTATCGGGTTACAGCTTGACTTCTTGTTCGGGGGGGGGGGGGGGGGGGGGGGGGGGGGAGGAGGAGGAAGAAGAGAGAGAGACAGAGAGAGAGAAGGCGACTTTCGCTCCCCGCTCAAACACCAACATTTGGCTTTTTATTTTCCCTTAGTTACCTGATCCTATCTTTGGATGCTTCAGGCTGAAAGAAGCATCCAGAAATATTACTGGAAGCAATACAAAGCACTCCCAAGGTTTGCAGGGTCTGTGTGCCCCAGGCTGCACAGAGCCCAGACCTGTGCCCAGGTGGTGGCAGTGTTACCCCAGGCTTGTGGGTATTCTCCAAGAAATGAGACAGCTGGCTGTAGGGTCCCCAAGGAAGACTCTCAAAGCATGGTTCTGGGCCTGGCACAGTGAGCTGGGTGGCTCTGCATAGCAGCATCCCCTCCTGTGCTGCCACAGCCCTCCAGCCCAAATAATTGCCCACCCCGACTTCAAAGGAACCGAGTAACTTATTTATTTAATTTATTCACAATGCTCAAAAAAAAAAAAAAAAAAAAATTCTCATTGCTGCTCTTAAAGTTGATTTTTTTTTTTCTTATCTTGGAAGAAGCAAGCTTGTTATAATAAAAGTTTCCAAATTCTAGACAAGCAAAGAGTTTAAAAATTGAAACTTTCAATCCACGTAATTTGTTTCTGAGCATTGATCTGCATTTAGCATATTGGTGAACAGTTCTCTGTTAAATTTAGTTTACATACTCGAGTTGAATGATATTATTTTTGTTATGAAAAGTTTTTTTAAACTGTTACAATGCTGGAATAATTAAAATGAATAAAACAGACAAAGTTTGGGGTTCCTGTTGGCTCACTGAAAGAAAGCAACATACTGACAATCAAAAACAGGAAGAGGAACAATACTAAAGAGGAATGAAACTGACAAGCAGATCCATGTATGTTTCCATAATATTAACTGTAATTAAGAGAAGATATGACATGAGAAGCTGTCTAGCATGTAAGGATTTCTCTATCCTATCCCCTGAAACCTCTCTATTTGCATCTTTCAGAGACATGCAGATTTAAGAACAAAGTGTGTTAAAAATACCCTGCTTTTCCCCTGGATCTTTTAACATAGGCTGCCAAAACCCTGTATAAGTACTGACCTGCTAAAAACACTTTTCGTTAAAGTCATACATGATTAATAGATTTTTAGCTTTGTTATGCAAAAGCTTGCAGACTACACACACACACACACACACACACACACACACATACAGCAGGGGTTGTCAACTGGGAGTGCGCATACCCCCAGGGTACTTGGGAAGGCCCTAGGGGGTACGCATGGGCGGGCAGGTAGAGAACGCCACCACTCTGTGCCGCCACCTCCCAGAAGGATGGCTCCTCTATGGGCCGCACAAGCAAACGCATTATTTAGTAACTACCTTCATAAAATTAAACCTCACCAGTATATATGTCCCAGTAGTGAGAGAGTAAAGCATGAAGAATCACCAAACTCTGTAACAATGTCTTCGTGGCTTTTCTGTTTATTTAGCACTCCACCAGATAAGATCTGTTCTCCTTCTGCAAGCCTTAAAAAAAATTAAAAGGGGTTACACAAAGTTCACAACATTGGTGGTCCATCATTTCCACCCCACTGCAAACAGCAGAAGCAGCAACAATAGAAAACACAGAAATAGGTTTTAAATATCTGAAAGTTCCAAACTAGTCTCCTTTGTGCCTGAAGAGTCCAAAACAAGGAGCCTGGATCTATAAAAACAGGAGATGGGATATTTGAATGCTAAGCACTTATCTTTTGAAAAAGTAGGAAACCCCTATAGATGTTCAAGCTGGGCACAAACACTGGTGGACTATACAACTGTTTTAGTAAAAATTGACTTGATTCACTTTTCGACTGAGATTCTGGCTTCAGCTGCTTGTTGCAACAGTATGAATTGTTGCTCAGGCTAGGAGCCTGAGATGTTTTTACACCAGAATTGCTTTCGAGTCTTGGTCTACACTTCTATACAGAAGAAACCAAGAGCTCTGGATTTACCTTGATTTCATTAAGTAAGGAGTATACCTTGTAGAGCTCTGTTCTCGTTTTCCAACTTGTGCATATGCAGACTGAATTCTTGTGCTTTGCTTGCTCACAAAGACAACTGGAAGAGGAAAGGCCATGGCTTATTGTGTATAAACATGCAGTTAAAAGTATGGCCCAGCATGGATGGTTTCATTCAGTTTAAGACTGATTTCATCATCACTGCAACTCTTGTCAAAACTTTTACTTAAGGGTGGACACTTGTGAACCATTGTACTATTTTAACCATACCAATGGAGTTTAAAGCAGCCTGATCCCCCTGCCTAATGTGAAGGTAATTTCAATGGGATGGAATTGCTTGTGCCAATACATCTTATTCCCAGAAGAAAATGGGAATAAGTGATACCAGTAAAGGCACTTCAATATAGATAGGATTACATCCACAACAGGTTGCAACACTTTAAATACATTTCAAATGAGAGGGGGGGGGAGCGGGGCGGGGAGGAGGAAAGACTCAAAACCAAAAAACACCTACCACCAACTGAAATAGTTTAATCTGAAGAACATAAATTACATACAAATGAGGCCTTAAATGAAAAGGGAAGAAAGAACAAAGAGCTTTTAAACATGTTTCCCTGGGACCCGTCCAAGTAGAGCATTAAATTGATTTCTATTTCAACAGAAAAAGGTGGCAGACTGATTAGTTCCTTTGCAGCAAATGAAACATCAAGAGATGTTAGAGTAGCACTATATAGAAAAGTCATAAAGCACTCGCACACTGCAGCAACTAACCATCCTTGATTTTTCCACATTAACTTGCCCCTGCTATTGGAAGACAGCTTTCACAGAGACCCTAATAAAACATTTTTCTTTTAGTTGGTTAGGATCACAATACATAAATCTTCATGCCACCAGGAAACACAATGTCATACTTCGTCTACTGAACGCATTACACCAGACAGGAGGTGTGGTGGTTTTTTGTTTTGTTTGTTTTTTTTAATTATTTTATTATTTTAGCAGAAATGAAGGTAGACATCCCTTAGAAATCCTGAAAAAAAAATTTAGGACTTTGTCTTGGATAGAACATCTCCTCTGTAATCTATGGTGGCAACTATGAACAGCTGGAATGCCCTTCTGTTCAGTTGGGAGAGCAGCACAGCAGGCTGTGGGCACTCTTTCTCTTGGCATGCATAGCTTAAGCTTGCTCCTATTAAGACATCATACAAGTTGCACCTGTCAAATTTGTATTTAAGAATATTGTATCGATTTTAAGAGTCAAATTACATGACAACTTAATAAAATGAAAACTGAGAATTAAGCAAATTGGTTTCTTACAAAGCAAGACTTTTTCTAATGCTGCTCTTTCTAAAATTTGTTAGTAGCTTATGTCTAGGACAGGGATGGGCAATTATTTTGAGTGGAAGGCCACTTACTGAGTTTTGGCAAGCTGTCAAGGGCCACATGGGTAGCCCCGCCCCTTGACTGGTACCCTGCCCTTGGTCACCATCTTGTGATCGGAAGTCCTGCCCCCTGACCCCCTAACCCTTGCCCCTGGAAATACTTCTTTCACCAAGGGGTTTTGCCATCTCAGAACCAGAAAAACACCAAATTATTTTAAAAATCAAACATCTACAACATTCGTTAATTTGATGTCAAAAAATATTTTGTCCTGATTTACATTCATTTGTGTAGTGTAGGCAGAGGTGATTGTACAATATCTCAAAATGAAGTCTGACTCTTGTATATTGTGTGTGTGTGTGGGGGGGGGTGGATAGGTGTGCGTGTGGCTATGTGGGGTGTGGGGGTCTGCGTGCATGGAAATGCAAGGGGGGTGCGGGCGCATGTGTATGGTGGGATGTGCGTGTGGGACTTGCCCCATGAACACGCACACACAGACACATAAAAC